CGAAATACTACAAAAAAATAATAAGTGCAGCTGTCTTTTGTGCCCAAATTACTCAACTTTTTAGTTGTTGTAATAGCTGATCCTAGCCAGCCAATCCACCTTCTAGGGAATGAAGTAATAAGTCAAACCTTAGTGAACGTTTTCACATTGAAATAAAATATAACAATTTGCTTTTTATCATACTGTGTTTGTTTTCAATACTCGGTTACCTCAACTAACTATTAACGGTAGCCTAGTAAAAAAAACATATGCAAGAAGTTCCTTATAGCCAGAACAGGCAAAAAAAGAGCAAAAAGTAGTGATTTTTCGAACAAGCTTAAAAGTGACAATATTTCGAAAGCTAGAAAACTTTTGTCAAGATAATGTTGATTTTATCTGATTGATCTACAGCTAATGTACCTCCCGTCTCAGTCTGGCGTGTTATTTCTGGGACACCTTGTATACAGCGACTTTTATCACAAGACATGTTCGTCTAGCCGCTAGACTCTAGCGGATAAATTTCATTAGAGCATATAGATACAAACAGAGTAAGATAATCTGTTAGAGATACATATATAAATAATTAAATATATTACTTTATTATATTATATCTTTTCATCTACCACCCTTTTAGAGATTTTCTCAGTATATTTAGCTCATTAATTACTTTCAATACCATATATACAGTAATCGGTAAGTGAAAATTCGAAGAAAGGTTTTGGGTTAACTCTTGTTCCTGCGAATTATTTAATTAGGGTGGAAAATGATTCTTCCTATAGGGGTGCTTATTCTCGTGCATATATATTTATTGTTGCGAGCTGTTAGCTGTATCCTTAACAATCACAGTCTGGTCGAGGATGTCGACGCCACTGGTCATTCGGGTATCTTCGGCAAATTGTCCGCTAAATTTTGTCTGCCAACTTCACACCAGTCCATCAAAACATCCATACTTGCATTGAATCTCAAATAACAGCGGACCTAAGACAGTTCCTTGTGGGACACCACACTTAATAATAATAATAATAATAATAATAATAATAATAATAATAATAATAATAATAATAATAATAATAATTTATTTGTCAAATTCAATTATGCAAATATAAATTTTCAAAGACTGTTGCCACAAAGGAGTATCAATGACAAATAAAAGTAATGCCACGAAAGAAAAATCTTGTGTGTGGCCATCCCATTATTGTCAGTTGTCTATCCGCAGATATAAATAAAGTCTATCAAGTACTTGCTAATGCACTATGCACTTCTTACGCACGCACTGACATAATTTGGTGTTACACGATCACTGGTAGAAATGCGAAAACCTTGAACTGACATTGTGGCACTTTAACTAAATTCAATAGTAAATAACATAAATCAAAAGGCTAATCTAAAAAAGAGTACATCTAAGATAAGGGACAATAAAAACTAAAATGACATTACAAAACTGGTAGTTGCATTTGTGTTGTGAGCAATAAAGACAAGGATATATCAAGCATAGAATAGAATAAAATTAAATGCCCATCATACATGAGATACGGTATAAGCATATAAGTGACTACAATAAAACATAATAAAATCTAATAAAATATAATAACGTACAATAAAATATGATAAAATAATAAATTAATAGAATGGAGCAATTATTCTAAAAACGGTGACTTCATTTGGGTTGTGAGAGTGACATATATAGTGTTTTGCCTTCTATATAATCATGTATTATGCTGCTGGATATACCTTTCACCCAGACTGAGATTTTTTTCTTGAATAAAGCAATGTTTCGTATTAACTTATAATCAGCAGGCATTTCGTTGTACAATTTGGGGCAGAGATAAATCCAGGAGCGTTGCAATAATGACTTTTCCGGCCTAGGTACCATTATGTGCCTAGCAACTTTCTGGCGAGTGTCATATTTGTGAGCGATTTCCTCATGAAATGATTTATTTTTAAAGTAGTATACCATGCAATTATAAATAAAGGTTTGCCTAATGTCCATAATTCCAGACTCATGGTATAGCTCATCAGATGAGTTTTGCTCTTGCTATAAAGAATTTTTAATAAATATTTTTGGGCAATCTCCAAGTTCTTTATGTAAGTGAAGCCAGCTCCTCCCCAGCCAAGTATTCCATAGCAAAGATGTGACTGCACAAGTGCGAAGTATAAGATTCTCATGCAATCTGTATTAAGGATGTTTCTAAGACATTTGAATTTTGGAATGAGGCATCTTATTTTCTTTGTCACATATTCGATTTGAACATCCCATCTGAGATTTTGATCAATATATATTCCCAGATATTTAGTGCTGCTTTGACGTTTAATGGTTGTCGTATAGTTTCCTATTCTGACATTTATTTCGTTATATTATGGCATATGGTTTCTATAGGATGCGAAAGGTACAAAACTTGTTTTCTCAGAGTTAACTGTGAGTAGCTTAGTGTTGAAATATGCTAGTACGTTGGTGAGATTATTTTCGATTTTATTTTTAAGTGCGGGCCAACTTGAGTCTTCATAAATTATGACAGTATCGTCCGCGAATCCTAACACTGTACCTCCCGAATCCATTGAGAACAAATCATTAATATATATATTAAATAATATTGGCCCAAGAACAGTTCCTTGTGGGATCCCATAGCATACGTCTTTATAATGACTGGTCACGTTATCTATTTTGACACACTGCTTTATGTTATTTAGGTAGCTCGACATTAAGTCTAAAGTAGTTCCCCTTATACCGCTAAGCTCGAGTATTTCCAACAGCTTGTCATGACTAATGGTGTCGAAAGCTTTGGTTAAGTCTATAAATATGCAAATGGCAGGGATCTTATCGTTAACTAGTCTGTACAGTTTTTTGGATAGTGTAGCTATTGCATCTTGCGTTAATATGCCTTCTTTAAATCCAAATTGATTTTTATGTAACACGTTATACCTATTGAAAAACTTTAGTAACCTTGACTTGATTATTTTTTCTACAACTTTGGCGATACTCGAAATCAGGGATATTGGTCTATAATTTTCTATATCAAGTTTGCTACCTTTTTTGTAGATAGGTGTTATTGTGGCTAACTTTAAAATATCGGGAAATACTCCTGTACGAAAACATTCAATTATTATATATTTTAAAGGCTTGCATATAAATAACGACTTAGATTAAGATACATGTGTTAAACGATAATAGACACGTCACTGATAACGCGTTGATTTACAGATTAAAGGAGCTAAAAAACGGAGACTTTCATAGGTTAAAAAAGTCATGTAGAGGGTACAAGTGTTTCGACAAGATGTTTACCGAGATGGTTTTGCAGTGCAAGGATATTAGTGCCTCTTCTCAACTCACTCAGCAAATTTCTATATACGTTACCAGTAATCTGTATAATTCAGGTATTCTATACAATACCTATGCAATATATAGAATACCTGGGTTGCCCAGGCAATGTATGAAATATTATGGATATTATTATCCATTACAAACTTTACCCAGGTAATGAATGCAATTCCTAGCGATTGTATAGAGTACCTGCTGTTCCACCGGCAATGTGTAAAATAAATAGATGTTGGTCTAAATTCAACAATGTTAACGGGCATACCTAGAAAATGACGGACACAAGTCACATTATTCAAAATCAACTTTATTAGAATTAACTCTTAAAGTGCTCCTTAAAAATAAGCTTTATGAAAAGGGTACAAAAAAGCACCCTTCTATTACTACAGTAAAAATCACAGTAATATTAACGTGGAACTAAAAATTATCCTAGATATAAGTAACAAAATAATTTTCATACTTACAAGTACGTACGTAATACGTAAAAACAAAAAATTCAAGGAACAAAACAATTCTGTAAAATTACAGGCAGTGTAGGTCTACTGCTTAGTCAAAATTTTATTAGAATAAAAAACACATTCTTACATCTATGTACTTAAGAAACAAAACAATCCTTTGAAAATAAGTAGGTTTACTACATAATCTAAATTTTAATTAAGTACATACGTAAAAAAATTATTTATTTTTACATGAAGAACTATTGTGACATTTTGAAGTACAGAAAATCTTCTTTGTTCTCGTCTTTTACATACATACCGGCTGCGCTTTCTGTATTGTATAGAATATCTAGGCAAAGTATGAAACAAATAATATTTCATGCATTACCTACACGTTTTAGGTATTCTATACGTTACCTAGGTATTGTATAGAATACCGGATTATACAGAATGTCGGTAACATATATATTTTGGTGCAAGCTAGTGTAGAAGATTTTTTTAATAGAGCAGAGTTATGTGTTGGTATACACATATGCTCTGTTCTAATATTGTAATGGCTATTCATGGCGTTGTTACAAAAAAAATTATTGCTGAGTTCAAATGCGAAGAGGGTGCATCTGTAGATCTAGATGGAAGTTGATGTAAGCAGATTAAAGCGTCCTGTCCACGTTTTCACACAAAAGCTAGAAAAAATCTCTCAAGTTAACAAATATTATTTTGCTCGGAAGTATGTATGTACATTCTCAGCACCACTAATACTTGGAGAAAGAGATAAACAGATTTTGATGAATTTGGACCTAACTTAAAAGGGTGGCTTTCAGATTTTGTTGGTTTAACTAGAATTCACTCACTCCCTATAAGATTTTGATAAAGCATGTTCTGCATTATGATATTTATTCACATGTATGACCAGAAACTTCTGTTCACTTTCTCGAAATATTCTACAGAGGCCTCGAATTTAAATACGCTTATTTTGTTTTCGTAGTTAGAATCTTACTACCCCTGTTTTCTTAGCATTGAGTAGAAAATTCTTACTATCAATAGGTGTTTCAAATGGGTAATACCAAAGTGGTGAAACGAGTTACAGGCCTACCGTTCTTATCTGTAATATTAAGATTACTTCTTAATAAATGCTCTTGACTTGGGGACAAGGAATTGTTTTGTTACTAAATGATAATGTTGAGTAATACGATGCACAAAGGAAGGACAAAGAAGAAAGGAGTCCACAAAATTCTGGAATGGAGGCGTGCCTATCTCAAATTACGAAGAGCACTCCTGAACCGGTAGTTACGTGACCGATATGTTTTGTACACTCTCCATGTCTACGTCATTAGCTAACACCAACCAGACACAGCAGCTGAAACATTAAATAGGGCGGTAAGCGAGGCCGTCTAGGCAGCCATTATAACAACTAATAGGATATTTAACGCGCAGCGCTGTCTGATCTGGAGCTTGGAAGTACTCGCCCAGGTGGCCCTCATTTGAATTATCTCTCCTTCCAGTCCCGTATTCATCCTGCCAACATCCATACAACTCTACTCTTAAAGTTTAATGGACTAACAGCACGGATATGCGTTTTTGTGGAGCAGACAAGGGGTCGGATGATATGTTGATATCGTGATAAGCGCTTGGCTGTTTGGTGCTTGATGAGTGTGCATGCGATGTGAAAGCAAGCACGCACTTCTTTATGACACCATGCTAAATAATACAAAGACATTTTCTAGAAAAGAGGTGTATCGTTTGTAGGCAGGTACTTAACACGTTGACTGTCGTGAGTGACCAAAGTGGAATTTAAGGGGACATTTTTGAAAAACACTGGATATGAATAAGGTCATTCAAATGATAAGTTATCATCAGCATCATTGTCTGACAGGCTCCCGTTTAGGTATTTTTATTGCTTGAAATAACATATGGAGATTTGGCCATGTATTCAGATTCAAACAAACTTCATTGCATAGACATTTGCGAAACTATAAAAACGTAGATCAGGGCAGCTCTATCGGATTAACATTACAATTGTCACTTGCAATGCGACGTCCTTTTCTGGGCAGCCACCCATGGACCTTTGTCTGAAGCTTGAGGCAAGGAGGTCATAACGAATGTTGTTTTCAACTACAAAGGCAAATCATTTTGATACAGAATAGAGAATAAAATACAGTTTCACACCACAAAATACATATTTACTTTACCTATTCGCTGACGTAGCAAGATAATCACACACGCAAACAAAAACAGCAACAAGAAACGTTGGAAACTAAACGCCAGATGGAACAAGAACAGAAAGCACCAAGGAATATTTAATAAATGCAAAAATGAAAAACAGGAGCGCTCCAGCTTAAAATCGAGTTAAGCATAATTCAAATGCTTAATGTGAAATTTCAGACATCCACCAACAATAGCACTCATGACAATTCCATAAAAATAGTCATGGTGACATTGCGGTCGACTGTACAGTTAAGATGGCAGTCTTGACAGTAAAAAGTGCGAAAATTCTTCACGAAACATTTACTACGTCACTGTTGAATGAAGGAATTGTACATTTATAGTGCTTCGAGGGATAATCACCTCGTAGTTCCTCAGTGTGTCAAGAGTAAATAATTAGCTTGCAACAAAAGCCTCTTTTTTATACCCACCTCCATCACTTCTGTTTTCTATATTGAGATGATCGCGATTTTAAACGTAATTCCTTAAAATATCCCGGTGCTCTGAGGAAAAGAGAAGCCTGATGTTTCACACCAGGTTCATTTCTTAGTCATCTTTTTGTTTGTGAAGGTGTTTGACGTTACTGCATACTTTATCAGCTCTGAAGTCATTATCCAGGTCATATCTGAGGTCGTTGCTTTTTTGATACCCTGAAACTTTTCGATGAACCATTCCTCAAAGAATGTATTGTTTCCAGGTTCTCGGGGTGTTTCCAACGTGGAACTCGACCCATGCCTGCTGCTTCGCGGCACTTTCGTATCTACACTGCCACGCAAAATAAATCGGACAAAAATTTTGTTGAAATATGCCGGAGAGAGTGAGATCTGTTATTCAAGCCCGTTAGTAAATACTCCTTTTTGATCACAATTTCTAAACATCAACGATGTCACTGTGATTTTTTAGGTTAAATTGTTTATGGTTATGATTCGCATAGTTTTCTTACCAACGCTGTCACTGTAATTTTTTAAATTACATTGTTTATGGCTAAGCTTCGCATGATTTTTTCAAAACAGTATACCTATATTCTTCAATAATTGAGACATTTACATGCATTCAGAAAAGAACTGTTGAGAAAAGTTGAGGCTTAACATTCTCATACGAAGACACATTATTCAGTAATCCAGTATTTCCACAGGGTGTTCAGAAATGCACCTTTTAGTTACACCCTGTATAACAATAGTTTTTTCAATTTTTGCTAGATCGTCGATAATGATGACAATGAAATTACCTGCAACTTGACGAAAAAAAAAAAGTAATTGACGCAAAGGTTAAAAAGTTAATTAAAATCTATAGGTTGACTCATATCTTAAATATTTGTTCTGCATTTTTTTATATACCGTGGTACCGTGGTTGCTATAAGAATCTTAATCCGATTTTTGAACCGCCTAATGTTAGTAGAACTGGAAAAGACCTTGTCGACACCATAGGGACAAATGAGCGGGCCAGTTCTGGATGTACGAAGTTCAACACTGTTAGAATGGGAGGCTGAAGTCAGGGGTCTGACTGATAGGCTCATCGTGCGGCGGCATCATGAAAGAGAGCTTTTTTACAGTGAATCAGCCGCATAGGCAGAAACCTCAACACCAGGGCACCGCAGCTTATAGAAACGTATTGTTTCAAACTCGCAAAATAACATCAATGGCAAGTCTAGTTCTGTAGAGAGTCTCACAATATCGATACCCTAGAGGCAAAGGGGCGGTCGTATCGGCCTGTCTGGCAGGCAACCGCATCGTGCTGGAGAGTTCTGAGGAGCGAAGCCTGTTGAAATAGCGGCAGAAGAGTGCCGACGACACGTCTTGCAAGAATCCCGAGACCATCCATTAGAAAAGAGTCATCGATCGGACAGAGCTCCCTCTGAGCAGCCCCCATCACGTATAATGTAGACAGCTCAGCAGCACTCCAATCATTCAAGCAGTACTCGAGGCTAGGTCTTATGTGGATCTTGTACAGAGTGAGTAAGTTAGCCTTGAACTAATAGCCCAGCCTTTTCCCAGCACCTGCCGCTATTGACGATGTGTGTTGGTGTTCTATATCAGATGTATTACAAAATCCTCACGTTGAAGATCACAAACTGGAAACGGAATTTCATATGCGGGCACCCGATGAGTGCAAATTGGTAAAGCAATAAATAGGGTTAAACGAGATTCCAGGGAAAAATGGCGCAACAAACTGTACTCACATCGACGTGCACTCCTTCCACCTTGTACCAGTTCTTCTGCGGCCTCGCCTTTGGCACGTACCTGTAGAACTCCTCATGATCCTTGTACCACTTGACTGCATATAATGTGTCATTACCGAGGTCGTAGTCGCACCGTAATGTAGCGGTTTCGCCAGGCGCGCGATATTGTGGCACCGACACACGCACCCACTTTAGTCCTTGCGCGGGACTGCCTATGCTGCTTGATACTGAAATGAAAGAAATATGGATGTAGAGTACGTCAGATTGATTTCTATCAATACCAATAATAATGTCTATTTACAAATGTATGAAAATTTAACTTTGAACGGATATACAGGGTGTTTCAGTTTATTGTTGCATAACTTTAAGATTCGATAGAACTTTTAAAATCAATGCATAACGTCTATATAAACATGGGTCGAAAAATGCGTGGCTTCCGTAATACATTGTGTTTAAATTTACTTTTTAAAATAGTTTTTTTTAAATATTTCGTACAATATTTCACGTATAACAGTGAAAATTGGTATACAAGGGTTTTTTGGTACGACAAAACGAACCATGGGCATAGTTTTACTGTAGCTGCTAGAGGGCGCTCTCTACTGTACCTGTAGTGTATTAAAATGACCGAAAATTTCTTCTTCGTGCAATATTTTGCTTTTTGAATAGAAAAACTGATTCTCCGCACTTTTCTGCATAAAAAAGCTCTCTTGTGAGTTTTCGTAGTAGTTAGCCGTTTTCGAGATATTTCGATTTTTAAGGTTCGATGCATTTTTAATTATTTATGGGAAAATAATATTTTTTTTACATTTTCGATTTGGGCATTACAAGTAATTAAGATGATCGTTTAGATTGTGTTTTTAAACACAGCAATAATTCCTAACTCCAAATAAACACAAAAAACAGAATATTAATTTGTTTAATTTTCCAATATCATTTTTAACAAATTAAATTAATTATTTACAACTAAAATGCTATTGGATAGTTAGAACAAACATACGAAATCTAAATTAGTTGCTCGAAATGTAAACCCAATTGTTCAATACACAATTCACATCTACGAATGATCGAACGTGGTATAGCATTATTCAAATAAGGCCTTATTTCATCACATGCATTCCTGATTCTGTCTATTAGCATATCTCTTGTGGTTACGGGAGTCTGGTACACTTTTTTTTTTAGAAATCCCCACACACAGAAATCTAATGGATTTAGGTCAGGGGATCGTGGAGGCCAGGCGACTGGTCCTCCACGGCCGATCCATCTTTCTGGATAATTTTCGTCCAGCCAGTTACTAACTATTCTCGAATGAAGAGCTGGACAACCATCAAGCTGGAACCAGGCCAATCTTCTTAAATCTAATATAACATCATCCCACATATTTGTATGTTCAGCCTTTAAAAATTCTAAGAAGGTCGCAGCATTTAACCTTGCAGGCAAAAGGTACGGTCCAAATAGTCGATTACGGTAGATACCAATCCACACGTTCACACTAAATTCATGCTGAAAATTTCTTTCCCGAAATGCATGCGGATTTTCATGCGACCAAATATGTTGATTATGAAAATTTACCACTCCTAGTGAAGCATGACTCATCGGTCCATAAAACGTTACTTAAAAACTCCCTATTAGTATCAGTTCTATCAAGAATCCACTAACAAAATGTGATTCTTCGTTCCCCGTCCCCTGGCTGTAGTCCTTGCGCAGATTGCAAATGCTAAGGACGTCTATGGTCATTTCTAAGAACACGGTGAACATGGCTTGCTGATATTCCCAAGGCACCACCCAACTAGCAAAGTAGTGGTATAAGCTTTTGGTAATAGAACCGTTCAGCCATAAAAGCTCTCTATTGTTGTTGCCTGAACACCAAAATGCTGGCTTAATGTTGTGTGGAATGCAAATTTGCTTTCTGCAACATATTTGCTCTAAAATGAGGTGTTTAAAATATTCTTATAATAGCATAATTATACAACACCTTATAGGGCAAATTTTTAACTGTTGCATAAACGTTTATACAACTATTTTATACGGCATATTTGCAAGTTAGTCAAAATGGTTGTGTTGGGGCACCCATGCTAACGTTTATAAAACAAACCCGAGCCTTGTTGCTTTGCTGTGCAATTTACTACATTAGCGAACAAATTGCTCCCAACGGAAGCACTTATACAACTGTTACATATGCTAAATATGTTGGTAAACAACTTCACCATAACCTAACTTTCTGCTGTCATATTTTTGTTAAAATGATATAGGTAACCAATGTTTTAGGACAAACAACGCATGCATATCGGTTCAAAAAGTTTTATCAACTGTTCAAACAGAAGATATAGATCGGGTACAAATTCTGGGTAAATCATTCGACTCTGTCGGTATTTCATTTCAGACATTTGTCAAATTGTTGTACAACACCTGCAGGCAACATCAAAATATTCTAATAACCTAAAGACAACATGGATGATGCCATGATTGTACACGACCACCCGCCATATTGGGCAAACATTTATTCCTCTATTTAGTATTAAATAATTATGTTTCAGTTCGAAATTACAGATATAAAGTGATAAACATTAGTGTAATTGTGTCTAAATATAGGATTTGTGGAAGATTTAACGCAGATAAGTTCAGTTTTCCATCTTAAAAATCTAGACATATTTTTGATCATTGTCAAAATATGAATGAAATACGAAGCCCGTAGAAATTGGGTAACTAATTTGCACGATAATCACAATAAAATTTGCTGCGCAAGTAATTCAATAGCCCTATATCAAAGTGTAGAAGTTCATCATATACCTGTGTATTAAATTCACAATGGCCGATATGTAAGTAAACAAGATGACTGTAATGTGTTAGTTATATATTCTTCACTTCGTCTATACAATACATAGGAAATAGTTTGGTTGCAATAAAGTAGAATCACGTAAGAGAATAGTTGTATAGTTGACAAAAACTGAATCTTGCACTGACACAAATGTCCTATAGCGGCTGCAAGAGGCTTACACTTTTGTTTTATAACTGTTACCTGCAGCCCTTATACAACCTCTTAAATGACTGAAGTGTCCTATTAGGTGTGCCCATTCCGCTTGTATAGCTGTTCTAAGAGGGTTTTGCTAATGTTCTTACAGTATACAATGCTGTTTAAGGAATACTGTATATTCATTCTTGCAACTCTAATAGGAGTGATAATTGTTAGTTGGGCAGGAACTCCTCTAACACTTGTGGTCGGATCTCTATCAAACTCACGCAGAATCATACGGGTAAATCTGCGCTGACGAGAGATTTTCCAAAACCATTTTCAATTATTTGGCGATGCACTCTTACAAATACTGAGCGAGTTGGATGTCGTCTGTTTGGAAGTCTTCGTGCGTATTCTCTGGCTGCTTCTGCTGCGTTTCCATTTTCAAAGCCATACACAAAATGAATACCCGCTAACTCTTGATTGGAGAATAAAAATGGCATTTTTATAAAACTTACAAAAAAAAACAGTAAACCTTATTCTGCCTTCAATTTCAAAAATATTTGCAGGCACAGCCTACTTCTAAAAATTATCGAGGTACTGACTTTTTAACGTTATTTTATCATAAATAATTAAAAATGCATCGAACCTTAAGATTCGAAATATCTCAAAAAACGGCTAACTATAACGAAAATTTACAAGAGAGCTTTTTTATGTTGAAAAGTGCGAAGAATCAGTTTTTTTTATTCAAAAAGCAAAAAAATTGCACTAAAAAAACTTTTGGGTCATTTTAATACACTACAGGTACAGTAGAGAGCGCCCTCTAGCAGCTACAGTAAAACTATGCCCATGGTTCGGACCAAAAAACCCTTGTATACCAATTTTCACTGTTATACATCAAATATTATTCGAAATATTTAAAAAAAAACTATTTTAGAAAGTAAATTTAAACACTCTGTATTTCGGAAGCCACACATTTTTCGACCCATGTTTATATAGACTTTATGCATTAATTTTGAAAGTTCTATCGAATATTAAAGTTATGCAACAATAAACTGAAACACCCTGTATAACAAAAAGCAGTTAATGTAAAATGAGCACCCAAAAAAATTGTTGTTGCGCATAGGAAAGCGGTAACATAATATTTTCTTGTATATGCAGAGTGCTCTCCAAGTTTAGAGTTTCCTTTAGACAGAGTATAGCACTTTTAAAAGTGCAGCTTTCCGAGTAACAATACACCAGTCTTAAGAAAAGCGAAATATCAATTTAGAAGTATCATAATAATCGATAAACCACCATCCTGAGTAAAAACAGGGTTACAACAAATTTATTTTCAATTTGAATTTGAAGGATTAGACATTGCTCTGATATGATGAGATCCCTGCAACGTGAGCCATAACTGTTTGCTCTGGAGTGCATTAAACCAGCAATGGTTTTAGTGCTTAGTGAATTTCCTTGTTTTATTTTTATTAAGTTGACCGCTAAAAAAATCTTTTACGGTTGATCGACGAATGAAGCTGATGGCAACATCTGGAAGAAAAGCACACTTGTGCTTTATTGGCACTGTACATTTAGCAAAAAGGGTAGTTATGTAATGCTTTAATAACCGCCATTTGGTAACCAGTTTTCGCAAATTTTTTCCAGATTACTGAAAGTGCACCGCTAGAGGTACTAAATCATATCTTTTTAATATTACTTTTTAGTTTTTTTATATACTTGGAACACTCGTGGGTGTCGTGGCGCTATAGGGGGATACAGGGGAAATAGGGGAACGTCACATGGATTCTAGCGAGGAACACGTGTGTGTGCGGCATCCATACATTCTGGTCCGCCTTAGAGGTCCGAGAGAACTGTTTCACGTATTATTTCATACATTTCATACCAATTTGATTAAATTTTCAGCTAATTGCTCTGCTTATAATTCAATGATGCCAATAGCTTAATATGCTAACTGCATACCCTTGTACAGTATTCTAAACCTACGTAGGGATGATGTTTTAGTTTGTACTCATTTTTTGAAACAGTGCTGGATGAAGTATACACATGACTATTTTCCTTGATATAGTTTGATATGTTTTTTCGTTTTTCTTTTTTTTATACCGTAGCAGCCGCGCATTTTGTTAATCCGATTCAAGAACTGCCTAATAGTCAAACCACATTAGACAAAAATACCCCAAATAGTTTTAAAGTCTAGTTTTATTGCTGCAAGCTGTTCAAGGTGGTATTCAAAACATGGAAGCATAAAATGGGTACCGATTTTCGTGGGAAAACTTTTTA